TTGCAAGTGCCTGCTGTCCACTGATCTCAGGAGACACAGTAATCTTATAAGAGTTAAGCACTCTTGTCCTTGCATCCCCAGGGGATTTTCATTCTTACCTTCTCAGTTCTGAGACCCTGACTGGGATGAGTAACCTCCTGGTGGAGGGGCCTGCCTAAGCTCCCTAAATGACTGAGACAAGCAGGCAGAGAGGGGGATAGAAAATATTGACATTCACTCCACTTAGGAGGTCCAACATCACAGCAATCAGGGCCTTGCTGACAGGGCCCTAGATACAAAGCCCCAGTTTGGGCGCCCTATAAGGAACATATGTATGTGTGCATTAACCTCATTCCCAAGCCCTCAGAACACAGCCACCTGGACATCCATGTGATCCCACAGAGTGGCCAGGACAGATGAGGGAGCAGCTCACACCACTAGGAAATGAAAAGGTAATTTTATTATTATTATTATTATTATTATTATTAGGTACTGGGGATTGAACCCAGGGGTGCTTAACCTCTGAGCAACATCTCCAGCCCTTTTTATTTTTTTTATTTTGAGATAAGGTCTCATTAAGTTGCTTATTATTAATTTTTGTGGTACTGGGGATTGAACCCAGGAATGCTTTACCACTGAGCTACATCTCTGACCCTTTTTATTTTATTTTGAGACAAGATCTCCCTAAATGGCCAGGACTGGCCTCAAACTTGTGATCCTCCTGCCTCAGTCTCCCAAATTGCTGGGATTATAGTCATGTGCCACCACACCTAGCTAAAAATGCAATTTTAAAAACACAAACAATTATTTCAAAATTTTCTATAGTCAATGGGTTAAAAACTGTTAGGTGTGGCTGGGGGTGTGGCTCAGTGGTAGAGTGCTTGTGTTGCATGTACAAGGCCCTGGGTTCTATCCCTAGCATTGCAAAAAAAGAAAAACCTAATCTCAAAATGAGATAATCTATACAAAGATAAAAAAAAAAAAAAAAAAAAAAACCAAAACAAACAAACAAAAAAACCAAAAACCAAAACCGCCCAAACTGTGGGTGAAGTAGCACACACCTGTAATTTAATTTATTGGGGAGGCTAAAGAAGGAGGATCCCTTGAGCCCAGGAGTTCCAGGACAGCCTGTGCAAAAAAGCAAGATCCCATCTTAAAAAAAAATCAGGAGAGGGGCTAGAGATGTAGTATTTGGCATGTGGGAAGCTTAAAAAAAAATTGTGCTGTCTCTGTGTGTTTGTGTATGTGTGTGTGTGTGTACGTGCGTGTATCTATGTGTGTGTGTCTGAGTCATCATGTGTCCATCTCCGGGTTCTACTTAGCTCAGCAGGAACATATTTGTATTTCTTCTTCCTTTTTTTTTTTTTTTTTTTTTTTGCAGTACTGGGGATTGAACCCAGGGTGCTTTATCCCTGAGATCTACCCCTAGCCCTTTATTTTATATTTTTCATTTTGAGAAAGGGTCTCTCAGGCCATTGTGATCCTTCTGCCTCAGTCTCCTGAGTTGCTGGGATTACAGCTCTGCGCCACTGCACCAATCATATTTGTATTTATTGAATTGAATTGAACGGAGTCTCTCTGCCTGCATAGAATCTGTGGTCTCAGGGAAATGCAGAGGGGGGTCAGAGGTCTCCGGGAATTGCTGGAAGAGAGCAAGTGATTCTTATTGGGGGGGGGGGAGATGAGTGCACCAGACAGGGCTGACTGGACCTTGGCAAAATATACCAGACAGCAAATGTCTCTCCTGCTCCTTCTGGCTCTAGGCCCCTATTCTGTCCTGTCACTGCTTTTTCCTTATCTTTTGGTTAGGCCATAGCTACAGGCAGGTCCCTGATCCTGGAAACACATCCAACCTGTTTCTCACCCTTTTGAAGAAGGTTCTGTGCCTTCTGGACTGATATATTAAGAGGGAAAAATGTTTGTCTCCACTTGTGGGGCTTTCTCTTCCCTCTGAGATACAGAATGTGAATTTTAACTGGTGTAGTCTGGAGACAAATGTGTCTGTCTGCTTTTTGCTCCCAAAGAATATATATATATATTATTTATTTATTTCAGGCAGGAGAGAGAGGCAGTGCCACGTCAGTGGAGAGATTCTGGGGGCAGCAGAGCCAGACAGGGCACAGAAATTGCGCCATCTTGCTACCTGTCTGGGCTGTTCCATCACACATATGGCGGAGGAAGGCAGAGGAGAGGCATCCAGATCTGGGGACAGATTCTCAGCAAGAAAGGGTCCTTCCTGTCCCACTAGTCTGGGGCTGCTTCAGTGGTCATTTAGCCCACCACCTGAGTCTGCGTCTGAGAGCCTTAGCAGCTCCAGTGAACGCCAGTGGCTGCTACAGGCAAGGACTCAAACAGATATGTGCACAGCTGGGGACCATGCAGGGCAGGCAAGCAACTGACATTGACAAACAGGCAAGCAAAAGACGGTGACAGACAAAGACAGTCACTGACGTAGCTGCCGAATGTCTGCTCTCCCCAGGAAACTAGCCTTGGCGAGCCTGTTGTCCACGGTACATGCGCACCCCCATGCACACTGACACGCAGCTGGAGCCCAGGCTGACGTTGTTGCGGACTTGAGGCCTTCTGCGAAGACGCAGAGGCAAAGCCTAAAGGGAGGGGCTCGGGAGGCCAGGGGAAAGGGGGAAACCATGGCTTTAGGGAAAGGTAAGAACAGTGGGTGGGGCAGGTCCTCCAGACAGTGAAGGTGATGGGAGATGGCACTGGGGGATGTCAAAGAGCGAGTAAATTTACCTGGCAGGATGAGGGCATATCGATCCTTCCCCCCTCCCCAGAAGGGGCAAAAGGAAGGGATGGGCAATGAATGGGGCGACAAATGGCGACTAATGAAGATACCTGGAGCAGAGATGCTGAGAAGATCTTCGAGCCGGATCCGCGGAGCTGTTCCTCCCTACCTATTCCGAGGAGCTGCCGTTCGGGGATACGGAATCCCCTTCGGGCCTCTGCTCCTCTTTCGGACGCGGGCTGGGAGACCGACTGCTGCAGCTGCTGCGGCTGCTGCCACCGTCCATGCCCGTGGGCGGCGCCGCTGTCCGAGAGCTGGTGCTGAAGCAGCGGCAGCGGCAAGCTGGTGCGCATGCGTCAGCGCCCGCAGACCAGTCGCTGGGCGGGGCCGAGAAAGAGCCCAGCCAATGGGCGCGGGGCTGGTGGGGGGTGCAGGGATGGAGGCTGCCAGCTGCGGCGCCGCAATGGGGACCCAAGGGGGGGCGGTTGTCTAGCAGAATGGCCGTGGGGCTAGGGTGTAGGCCCATCTACGCAGGCCAGGTCTACGTGATTTTAGGGGTCCGGCGGTCTGGCCCTTTCTGGGGACCTCGGACTTCTCATAAGGAACTAAGGAGCGCGACCCGTGCAGAGATCCCCACAATTTGAAACGCAGGTTTCCACCCCCGCGTTTCACGGCATTCTGGCGCAGGACGCTGAGTGGTAGAGAGGTCGAGCGACTAGTCCGCATTCCTCTCGGATCCACTCTGCTCCCTCTTTTCCTCCCCAGTGGGGCTAAGGGTCTGCTTAATTTGGGTCTTCCTTCCTGTCGGTTTGGACCTGGACCTGGGTCTGTGCCCCTCAGCTATGGAACCTGGACTCGGTTATTGAAGTGCGCAATACGGGGAGGAGGGAGGGAGAAGAGAAACGCCCAGAATGCTCAGCTCCCTTTCCTTACAGTCACCACTACTTCCCACCTCAGCCTGGGAGGGACCAGTTAGCCACTCATTCCTGGGCACTTGCCTGTAACCCATAGGGGAATAGCTCTGAGGGATAGATAGAAGAGCACATTTGGAGGTAATGGACCTGAGACAGGTCTGGCTAGAGGGTTGTAACAGAACTAGAATAGATAGCAATATGAAAAGCCTGAAGGCTGGGGAGTGGAGAGGGTCCTGGGCGTGGGATTTGGATAGACAGAAAGGGTTTCACAGCAAGCAGGCTGTCCAGTGCCTGGCTCTGGTGCTGAAAGCATGGGGCTCAGAGAGTCAGAACCCTTGTGGTCAGGCCCATGAGATGACTGATGCCATCTCTTCTTTGCAGCTTGTGATAGAGAAGGGGCGGTGTGCAGAGGAGGGAAGACCTTCTTCCTAATAGGCCTTAGGGAAAACTTCCTGGAGATGGTGGGTTTCTACTGGCTTGGAAGGCTCTGAAAATGTGGAGGTACGAGTCAGGGAGGGCATCCCTGACCTGGGATGTCTGACCCAGACAGAGAACTGCAAAATTCATGAGGTTGGAAAACTGTATATTTTCAGGGAATTGTGAGAAATTCACCTGGCTAATAGGGAGCTTTTGAAGGCTTTAGCTGTGTAGAATGAGGTGTGCAAGCTGGAACCTTGGAATGCCCACAAGATTTGGGTGTATGGGACAGGATAGAGGTGATGGGGCCACATGCAGGACCCTTTATGGTAGGGAGAAGAGTTGAGAAAGAACAAAAAGGAAGTTGACCTTATACAACCACCTGCTATGAGAATCACTGAGCCAAGTTCTAGAGAATACCAGACTGGTTATTCTGTTTTCACAACAGGGAAACCCAGAAACAACTAGACTCTTTGAGTGCCAGTTTGAATGTTGTGTTAGGTTTTCATCACAGTGGCCAAAATACCAACAAGAACAACTTGGAGGAGGAAAAGTTTTCTTTGGGTTCATGATTTCAGAGGTGCAGGCTATGGTTGACCATCTCAATGACGTGAGGCAGAACATCATGGCAGAAGAGCGTGGTGGAGTAAAGCTGTTCAGCTCATGGCAGCTGGGAAGCAGAGAGAGGAGCCAGAGAAAAGCCGTATAATCCCCAAGGGCATGTTCCCAGTGACCAGCTTCCTCCAGCCACACCTTAACTGCTTACAGTTACTACCCAGTAATCCATTCAAATTATTAACCCATCAAATGGATTAGTCCACCGATTAGGTTACAGTTCTCATAATCTAATCATTTCATCTTTGAGAATTCCTGCTTTATCTGTTACATGAGTTGATTGGGAGATGACTCGTATTCAAACCATAACAGATGAGAAGGAAGACAGACTCTTAAAGAATAAAACTTGGCCTCCAGGAGGCTGTTTATTAGGAAGAGAAGATTCTGGTCCATGTCTAGTGCCAGGTCAGGAAGGCAACCTTCTCAGGTTCCTCATCTTGTGTCTTTTTTTCTTGTTTCTTCAGTGGTGTGGACCAGGGGGATGCCCTGGGCAATGGCCTGGGGGATGCCCACCAGGTCCTGGGGGGTGGCCTCCCCCATGACAGTGCCCTGGACCATGACCAGGGGGGTGACCACCAGGTCCTGGGGGGTGACCTCCCCCATGACAATGCCCTGGACCATGACCAGGGGGGTGCCCACCAGGTCCTGGGGGGTGGCCTCCCCCATGACAGTGCCCTGGGCCATGACCAGGGGGGTGCCCACCAGGTCCTGGGGGGTGGCCTCCCCCAGGACAGTGCCCTGGACCATGACCAGGTGGGGGACCACCAGGTCCTGGAGGATGGCCGCCATGGCAGTGCCCCTGTGGAAAGCCAAATGACCAATGTCAGAATCTGAGGTCAGTGCCAATCTCTCCTGTAATCAACTCCTCTTCTTTCTCCTTCCCCAGGGATTCTGGATTCCTGGGCACTAGCAAGGAGCTATAGAGGAGGACTGGGTGGTAGGGGTGGCCTTGATGAAGCCCCTTGAATACTGAGCAGACAAGGGGAGGGACCTAGATTTATTGGTTTCCATTCTTGACCTGAGCTATGATTCCACTTCTTGGACTTTGGTTAATTTCATGTGTAACTAAGAAGCAAAATTATCTCATCTTCCCTGAGGGACCCTTGCAGAGTGATTCTAGAAGCTTTTCCATGCTAGAACTGCAGGCTTATTGTACTTAGGAGCAAGGGTGAAGCTCAGGGAGGCTGTAGAGGAGCTGAGGGCTAGGGAGAGATAGGAGCTGAGGAGAAGTACAGCAGCTGGAGGAGGGGCAGTAGACCAAGAGAAGGAAGGAAGATGAAGATGTGCATGTTCTCTACATAGGTAGTGGGTCCTTGTATATGAACAGGATGTATGCTGCATTGACATACATATAACTGTGTTTGGGTACATATACATAAGTGTGTGCATATACTTGCCTGCTGTGCACATAGATGCATGCATGGAGTACATATGTAGGTGGTGTGTTCATGAGAATGGGTGTGTGTGTGAGCCTATGGCATCCTTGAGCAGGGTGCGAGCCCAAGATATCAGGAAGACTAAAAAATAATGTCAAAGTTTTACTCCTCCAAAGTATAGGTATGAAGACACGAAGTGCTGTGAATATACTATATATAAAACCAGAGATATGAAAAATTGTGCTCTATATGTGTAATAAGAACTGTAATGCACTCTGTGTCATATATAAATTTTAAAAAATAAATAAAAATAAAAAATGTTTTACTCCTTCTGTTTTCCAGCCAGAAGAAGACTGGAAAAAAGTGTGGTTTTACCTTCTGTCTTGACTACAACTACCTATGAGGCCCTAAAATGAAGGGAATTTCTTTGTTTCTTACCACAGGCCCAGGGAAGGAGAGAGAGACACCATCTTGCTTCTGTGCTAGACACTGAAGGTCTGGGCCCCTGTGGAGCAGGGGTGAAGCTATGCCCCTTTCCAGGGCTTCTGTTTCTTAGGGCATGGTAAAAGTTTGGAAGATCAAGGCTCCAGGGCTTTCCTGTGACTATGTTAGAGCAGTTCCTGCTCCATCCAGGCTCAGTGATGCCTGGAAACAGCCACTTCCTACTCTATCTGCTTTTCCTTCTATGGCTCTTTTTGTGGTGGGGCCACAAATCCACACCAGGGAGCTGGTCTGCTGTGGTAGCTGATGTAGGAGAAGAGGGTGAGGGCAGACCAACTTCCTTTCTTGACAGAAGCCTATCTTGGGGGATCTGCAGTGTGGCTGGGGCTTGGGAGCAAGCCATCCATCCAGCAAGGCTGTGGGGGTAGCCAGGAAAGCAGAGCAGGGTAGAACAGGTGGGGAAGCAGCAGGAGAGAGGATGGGCTGCTGGGGCAGGGAGGGAAAGAGAGGAAAGGAGGAGACAGATGGGAAAACAGAGAGGAGAATGCCAAGGAAGGAGGCTGTAGCAGCAGGGGCTGGGTGAACTCGGCAATGCCTCACCCCATGGGGCTGCTGCCCAATCCTGCTCCTGACTTTCATTTCTGGAAAGGAGATCTAGGAAGGAAGGTCTGGAGGGCATGGTAGTTGGTAGTGGGGAAGAAAACAGGGAGAGGATTGGGGAACTTTCTTACCTTTGGACCTGTGGGAGGGGAAGAGAAAAAAAAAAAAGGAGCAACTTGGATCATTTGTTCTGCAGTTAAAAACCCTGTCTTCTCCCTGGCACTGATCTGTTCTCCTCCTCCAACAAGGCTCTTCAGACTTGGTCATTTGCCTGACAATCATTCCTCCATTCATCCACTCAACCACAGATTCATATTGAAAGTCAATACAAAGTTCCATTGTGAGTCCCTGTGTGCCCCAGACTGGCGGAGTCCTCCCAGGTGGCACAGGGCCAATTAAGAGGCGTGGGTTCTTGTCCACACTCTGTCAGCTATTTGTTCTCCTCGCCTTGGTCAAACATCATGGCATTAGAGAAATGCTCCACTGTGGCAAACTCTGATTCATCCTCTTCTGCTTCTGCCAGGGGCCCCACCTTAGTTCCCTCACATCTCATTTATCTCACCCAGTCTGTGCTTAGCCCCTCAGAGCTATTTGTTGGTCCTGCTTTATCTTTGTTGGCTCCTCCTTATAACTCACATCTGGACCTTTGCTTATGCCTCCTGCTACTTGGAAATCTCTCTAGCTCAACTCTGCCTTGTTTTCCTGCAGGAAATCTACTTTACTCTGTAGGTCCAGTGGGCTCATTCAGCAATAGTCATCTGAACGGTCTCCAGTGCTCTGAAGCCCTCCTTTGGAAGGAATCACGTACTATTACTTTGTGCCTTTTAGGAGAGCCAGTGGCACAGCTACTGAGAGCTGTGTTCTGGACTCCAGACTGATCTTTCTGTGGTCTCACCCCAAGCAAGACCCTTAATTTCCCTGGGTCTCATGTGTAAAGCACTTGCCTGTTTTCCTCTTGAGGTTCAAGATCTATGAGATGAAGGATGTGTGAACATGTTTCTTAAACTGTGAAGTGCTCTACAGAATATAAGGGCTTGTTTGCATTTTGGAACCCTACTGCCACCTACACACACGCACACAGACACACTTTTTTTTTTTTTTTTTGGCAAGCAGTAGATATGTCTGTCTGATTGGCCCTGCCTTCACCACTCTCCTTCCTTCTTTCACCCCATAGCCTCTCACCCATGTTGCTTACCTGGATCCATCTTTATGGGGCAAGAGCAGGGAGTGACACAAGAAATACCTGTGGTTTGACAGATAAAATTTTAGTTTATGGTGATCTATATCTTAAACTCTTTCCTTCTTCTCAGGGATGCACACACAAAGCCTCTCTAAAGGATGAAGGGGTAAGACTACTCCACCTGGCCTAGCATAGCACTCGATGTGGAGATGTCACTCTGGGTGTCAATACAGGCATTGATTGTTTGGAGGGGGTCTATCCACATGGAGAGAGAAGAGAGACAAGAGAAGTACTGTTTCCTTAGATCCACACTCTTACACCTCCCTGAATCCCCAAGATCCACACCCAGACTCATATCATATGTTAGTTCAATTCCACTTGGATCACCTTTGATCATGTTGAGTGCCTGCTATACGCCAGGTCACAGTACTCCTGTCCCTAGAGGTCCCTGAGCATAGGGGTTGGAAGAGCAGGGAAGGGCAGGATGGGTTGGTGGATAGGGATCTTTGGGGGACCCAGAGGATCCTATGATCCATGCCCTACAACACAAGTGAGTGAAAAGCTTTCCTGGGTCCTAGCTGCTTATTTCTGTTTCCTCCCTCCAGAATTGGAAGGCAGTGGGAACTTTGAGGTCTGAGCCAATTTGTCATTCACCAACAAGCTATGCTGTCACTGGATGGAAATGCTGAGGTTTGGCCTCTGCTTATTTGGGGCTGGCATGCAAGTTACAATGGACAACTCTAGGATGGACCCAGTGCACATATAGTACACTTAAGGATCAAATACGTGTCATCAGGGCTCTCTGGTACTCATATGGTTGTTGAGAATATTTGTTATATTTTGAGCAAATTATCACTCACACACACACACACACACACACACACACACACACACACACCCCTAATATAACAGTGCTGGCCCCTTGTAGGAAAGGCTCCTGCATTTTTTTGAGCCACTTTTGTGTGTGTGTGTGTGTGGTGGGGGGGAATTACTTACACATGCAAAGCAGGTGCTCTACTACTGAGCTACCCTCGACTCTGTTGAGCTGCCCGTGGTTCTATTTACTCCCTCAACTTTTGCTTAGTTAGTGATGATGCTGGAAGAGACCCAGGAAGCTGGACTTGTGGGAGGGAGAAGTTATAAAAACCTTAGGGCCAGTTAGGATCTGGGTTAGAAAAAGGAGAAAAGATAGTCCTTAGAATATATCTCACAAATTCAGGTCTGGCTATTTGAGTTGGCAGCTCTGGAAGGGACCTAATGCAATCCCTTTGACTCTTAGCTAAGCCCCTCTATAAGTCATGGCAGAGGCTGTAAGTCAAAATTCAAGTACAGAGTGGAAGTGCAAGGGTTCAGCCCAGGAGTGGGACAAGGCAGACGGGTAGATATGAGGGCTTATACGCAGCCACACAGCACACAGACACATGTTGCACACATGAGAGACAGAGCACACACAGATGTACAACAACAATGATCAAACACATTTACCCAGATAGAGCACAAACAAACAGGCACATGAAGCACTCTCACGGAGAACCCCCACCCCTACCCCCACCCCAGCAAACAAAACCAGGTCCTTACCCAAGAGTGCAGAGCAAGAGCAGGAAGCCTGAGACTCTGTCTGTGCTCAGTGTATTTATATTGGATAGGGAGGGGCTGGCATGGATCAGGTGCACTGAGAGAGTCATGGGCAGAAGGTAAGTGAATGAGAAGGGATGGGCTACTCTGGGCAAAGAGCAGCTGGAAGCAGGATGTGTGGGCAGGGGAGGGGGGAACAGATGGGGAGAATGAGGGACAACCCATTATGAGATTGGTCTGTTAATGAGATGCCATAGAACCAAGGGAGGGGTTCCCAACCCTGGCAAAGACATTCAGCACCTAGTACTGGCTCTAAATATTCGTGGAGCTCCCACTAAATGTCAGGCCATGTGTGAGTGCTTCACATTCTGCAGTTAGCTCCTACAAAGGAGGCAGGATGAGTATCTCCCTCCAGCAGGTCGAGGGGATATAGTGACCCGAGTGGAGGGCCTGGTGGAATTCTTGCCCTGGGTGCTTAGTCCCAAGCCCAAGTTCTCAAATGTGCTGCTCAATCCAGGGTATTAACCTAGGAATAGAAGTCACATATAGAAAAGGAGACTTTCAGGATGGAATCTAGACAAATTGAGAAGGGACCCAGGATTTTGGAACCCAGGCAGTCAGCTTTCTCTGCATTCTGCAAGCCCCTCATGGGAGCCATTCCGTTGACCCTTGTGGCATTGGCTGTGTGCCACAACCCCTTGCTCAGTGTGCTCTGGAAGACAGGCCAGTGGCCCCTGCTACAAGGTCTCCTGTCTCCCTGGATGCTTTCTTCTAATGTATCTTGCTTCCACTGGCCTCTATGCTCTTCAAACGCAGGGACAGTGGTGGCTCTCTTTGTCACCTTTGTATTCCTAGGGATTAACCTTTAGCAATTCTCCTGGCATTAGCAGATGCTCAATAAGTATTTGGTAGTTATACAGGGGGTTGGAGTTAGTTATTGCTGAGTAATGGCTGGCTTCCTTTTCTGTGCTTTATATTTGTGTTTATTTTTTCTCTTTTATTTGCATATTTAATTTTTTTTTCTGCAAGAAGGAAGTGCCCTTCTCTATCTCACAATGTTGTACAAAACAGAGAACATCAAAGACTCCATCCTCAGCAAGGCAAAGGGTCTTGGCTGGCCCCCTGTTTCAATCAAAGAGGACAGAAGCCACGTGAAATCAGAAGCAGCAAGTTAAAGAAGCAATTGTTTCCAGGTTTGCTGTAAAGAGCCTCATGAGCTAGCTGCATGTCAGTGCATTAGATTATTTGTTTGTTTGTTGTACTGGGGATTGGACCCTGGGACACTTTGCCCTTATGCTATATCCCCAGCTTTCTTTTATTTTTTATTTTGAGACAAAGTCTCACTAAGTTGCTTAGGGCCTCACCAAGTTGGTGAAGCTGGCCTTTAATTTGCAATCCTCCTGCTTCAGCCTCCCAGTTGCTGGGATTACAGTCATGAGTCACCATGTCTAGCTGGATTAATTTTTTAAAAAATGCTGAGGATGTAGCTCAATGGTAGAATGCTTGCCTAGCATGTGTGTGGCCTTGGATTTGATCCCCAGCACTGAAACAAACAAACAAACAAAAAAGTAACACATACCCAGAAAATGAAAACATAGATTCTCATAAAGAGTTGTACTGAATATTCATAGAAGCTTTTGGAATGTCTGAAGACTGAGAACTTCTCAAATGTTAATCACTAAGGGAATGAATAAACAAATCATGGCACATTCATTCAATGGAATACTGTTCAATAATAAGAAAGGACAAGCTATTGATTCAGGCTAAAATATGATGAAATCTCAAAATAATTATGCTGAGCAAAAGAAACCAGACATGAGGAATATATATTGCATACATTTGTCTATAAAATTCTAGAAAATGTAAACTTACTGACAGTGACAGCAAACAAATGTTTGCCTAGGAAGAAGGTAGAGGGGGAGGGAGCGGAAGGAGACATTAGAAAGGAATATGAAGAAACTTTGGAGTTGGTAGATATATTCATTATCTTGCCTGTTGATGGTTTCAAGGAGCATTCATATGGCAAAACATCAAACTGCACCTTTTAAATATGTGCAGTTTATGGCCTGTCAATTTGACTTAAATTAGCGCTGTAAATCAAAAGTACCTTAACCTTCATCAGAAAACAACTTGGAAGATAGAGAGGAACAAAGAGTGATTCTTTGTCTCCATGGTGGGAAGAAAAGTATCTGCATGCCAAGCTCTTCTATAGTATCAGTGATCTCAGATCAGCTCTTGGAGGGTTTATGATCTTTTCCATATATATATATGATCTTTTCCTCTTTTCCTCTTTGAGATATTATATATATATGGCAAGGTTCAAAGATGGTAAGACACTTGAGGTGACTCAGTCATTGTGTAGTTAGCTCCAGTCAGGGACTGTGTGAATCTAGACCCTGGGCTCTTCTTCACATTAACTTATCTCCCCTTCTAGGAACTCTTTTCTGAAAAACTCCAGCCTGTCTTGGTAACATCCCAGGCGGAGGACTTTGGTTTATGACTAGGTGGGGTTCTATTACTCCATTTGGCATAATTCATTGCTATTTTGATGGGAGCAAGGACAGGGACAGCTGGTGGGCTGCTGGAGAGGTATAGAGTCCCAGGGGAAATTTTCAAAGGTGTGGTGGTGTCCTCCAGGCTCCCAGCCCCTGCTGGGTCGTGGGGGGGGGCACTTCTCATGTCTTCCCACACGCGACCCTCACCAGTGCTCCAAGCCCTCCTTTTCAGGGATTCTTTGGTTTCCCCTTCAGGGACCTTGACACTGTGATCTCCCACCCCCAGCCTCTGGCAGGAAGCTGAAAAGAGAGGCCTATGTTCTCATGAGCCTACAAGAAAGAGGTGTGTGTGGTGGGGGGATGATCAAGACCTCAGACTCCAGTTCTTGTCACCTCTGGAGTCAGGACTTGAGCCATAGCCCAGGTCATGAGGGGTGAGCAGTGGAGGTACTGAGGCCTTAGGTGGAGGAGACAAGCCTTGCCTGGCATGTAGAGAAGACAGGGAAGTTTGGCCTAGGGGCCAGGAGGCCCCAGAGAGGAGAGGAGGATGCCAGAGCATCAGAGTCAGTCTATAACAGATTCATGGCCTTGTTCCCCTCCCCAACCTTAAATTTTGAGGACTAGTAGATCCTCAGCCATGTGTGTGTCCCTCTAACCTTTGACCCTGTGCTTCACAGATAGTAAGTGCTCAGCATGTGCTTGGACTTATTCCCTGGCAGAGAGAGGTGGCATCTTCCTGCCAGAAAGTCACAGAGTAGAGAAGAAGGGAACTGGGTGGAATAAGAGGAACCATTTGAGGAACTATAAAGAGGGGTGAGGAGCTGGGATCAGGGAGAGGAGAGAGGAGGACAGGAAGAGATTGAAGGTCTCCTGGACAGTGGAGGCAGTGGGTGGAGGTCTTGGGAGGGTGAGGATATGCAGTGAAGGTCTGAAGGCCTTCTCTTCTCTTCTCTTCTTGATCTTCTCTGTGACCTGTCAGCAGAGCCAACCAGACTACCCTGTCTCCTCAGCTGTCCTGCAGAGCAGGGAAGAGGCCAAATAGCCAGGTGCCTTTCCCTGGTTTGGTAGACAGGTTTCTGATGGCACGAGGGCAAAGATGGCTGCCCTGGGTCTGGGCTAGAGACCGTGGTGCAGCGCGTTCTTGTTAGTGATTTCAGGCGCAGCAGGGCGCAGTGCACCCACAGAGACCCCTGGACAGGTTGCTGACCCTGATCTCCATAGAGAAGCCAATAACACCAGAACTAGAAGAGATCAAATGACATCACAGGCGTGAGGGCTTTGCCAATGTTAGCTGGGAGTGCAAGGTGTGATTCGGGCCTGTGAAAGCACCGGTGACCTGTTTGACTCTCTGGCCCCATCATTCCTTCCCTTGCTCTGAACCGGGCATCTGCCTTCTGGATATGTCACTATCTTTGGCCTCTGATATCCACCGGCATTTCATGATGGACTCCTGAGACATGCCCTCCAGGGCCCACCCTCCCTCAACATCCTCCTTTCCCACAACATCCTAGTGTCCCTACAACTGTGTTTTTCCAGCATAGGCATTTTGGAGCTAAAACAGGGACAGTTCCAAGCAAACTGGGACAGTTGGTCACTCTGCTTCACTCCCCACTCTCAGGCTGTCTTCTCTCTTCCACAGTGACCAGGGTGACCACTGTGTCCCAGATCTAGCATTTTGGCCTCTGTTATCTCAGCCCTGGTTACCCTCTTCTGCCTAGAAGCATCTATACCAGGAGAAAGCTCCCCAATGCACCCTTTCAGCCACTTTCAGTCCCCTTCTCAGCTTCCTGCCATTCCTCAGTCTTTAAGTGGCTTCTGCCCTCTCTCCATCTCTCAAAACTGTGCCAAACCTTTCTCTCCTACAGGGTGTGACCCCACCCACACCTATGTCCATATGATAGGGCAGGGATAAAGCCCGTCTGTCCCAGCCTAGCTTATTAGTCCCTGCCTGCCCCCTCCAGGCCTAGAAGGAGGAGCATTCTGGGGACATGCAGCCCAGCCCTTTGTGCTCCCTGCTTCCAGAAGGACCCCTAGGACTGAGACCTTAGTGCCATTTGGTTCTGTGCCCACCTACAGCCATGCTAAAGTTCTGATGACTCCTGAACACTCTCCTGCTCACTCCTTCCCTAGACCTTCCTTTGCCCTGCCTGGCCCAAGTAGCTCCCTGCCGTGTCTGAACATCACTCACACCTGTCCCCACAAATTCTTGACTGAACCTTTTTGGCTTCAGCTTCCTAAACTGCCATATGACCTCATCAGCCCCTGTTGTGGAGCTGTCAGTGAGCCCCTGGACTACTTTATCCTCAGTCTGCCCTTCAGTGACCTCCTCAGTCTGGTTTGTACCTTTCTAACCTGATGTCCTCTTTTTAGAAAAGCCACCACCACTTCCCTGCCTCTTCCCATGTATTCTGTCTTGTGCAGGTCATGCAAAGCACACGGTAGGTGCCCTGCTGATGGCATGTGGCAGGTAGGGCCTGACAGGCACAGCATTTAATCTTTGGCAGCAACTCTGAGATGGGTCATAATGTAGGGTTCTGGAAAAATACTGTGAGCCCTCTTTGCATAGATAACAGAGGCCTGAACAAGGGAAACCCTAAGGGGTTCAGTTTCACACCAGTTTCACACTCTTACCACTGAGTCAAGGGCTAGAGAGCACATGGTGGTCCAGCCCTGGGTGTGTCCTACAGAACAAAATGGAGTGGCTCCCAGTTCAACCTGTCTCCTGCCTTCAGATGCCACCCTACTCTGGCATGTGTGTTCTTGGAAAGGTGGGGCCCAGACTTTGTCCTGGCAGCTGGAGCCTCCCAGGGCGGGTCCCTGTAGCCGCACCTCATGCACTCTGAGGTCTTCCCACCCAGGGCCAGGCCTGGTTTGACACACAAACCACTAGTCAAGACTGTTTCTTGAGACAGGAATATCCCTAATAAGGCATAGGGAGAGGAATGGGTATGTAGCAAAGGTACTTTAAGCCCCCTCTCTTGCCCTCCCATTAGGAGATAGTGTGGTAACTGGGCTCTCCAGCTTGTCCATCCTCTTCTTCAACATTCACCCACCCACCAAGAGCTGGCAAGAGACACTAGGGATCACTAAGGATTTAGCCCCCAGCCAAGAAGATGGTTCCTGAGTACTAAGATGTGAATCTGGGGGGCTGGGGATGTGGCTCAAGCGGTAGCGCGCTCGCCTAGCATGCGTGCGGCCCGGGTTCGATCCTCAGCAGCACCACATACCAAAAAAGATGTTGTGTCTGCTGAGAACTAAGAAAAAATAAATAAATGTTAAAATTCTCTCTCTCTCTCTCTCTGTCCCCCTCTCTCTCACTCACTCTTTAAAAAAAAAAAAATAAGATGTGAATCTGGAACAGCCAGAGGGGTTCAGAGGCAGGTGAAACACAGAGACTGCTTCCAGGAGCACCAGCGCTGACTGGAAGAGATGACAGTCAGAATCTGGGACTTGAAAGGGAACAGAGTATGAGGAAGGTAGTAGACAGAGAGGACATCTTGGAGGGATGGAGGGCACAGGAGCCTGGGCTTGCAGAATTTGTGCAGGAGACATGAAGGAAGGCACAGAGAGAACACTGAGGGGGTGCCTCAGGGCCTGCCCTCCAAGGTCTCAAATGATCCCCATAACCCGAAGTCCTCAGTGTGCTCAGGCCCCAAGGGCTGGGGGAGGCAGCCTTTGGGTCCCCCCCCCTTTTTTTATTGGTTGTTCACAACATTACAAAGCTCTTGACATATCATATTTCATACATTAGAATCAAGTGGGTTATGAACTCCCATTTTTACCCCAAATACAGATTGCAGAATCATATCCTTTGGGTCCCCTTGATGAATGCTGAGGGTTGGCTACCATGAAGTTACCTGAAGCCGGAAAAAAAACGACTTTGAGCCTGGCTATGTGTCACACGTTGTTCCAGGTATAGATGTCACCATGTTATTTCATTTTGTCTCCAAATGACTCAATGAGAAATGTGTACTTCGTTTTATAGAGGAAAATCAGAGAGATAAGAGACAGTGTCAGTAAGGAGGGAAGGGATTGAACACCATGCCAGCCTGCCTCATTCTAGGACAGGGATAAGAAGGGCAAGGACTAGAGTGCTGATATTTTATTGTTCAGCTATTCACAGGGACAGCCATTCTGGATGAATATGGCCTGAGTAGCCCTGTCCCCTGCCAGACCTGTGCTCCCAGGTCTGTTAGGTCTTTCTTCCCCAGTAGGCCTCTCGTCCCTTTTCTCCTCAGAGAGAAGGCATCTCACAACCATCTTGTCTCCAGGTTGGCTCTATGTCTGTGTTCTAATCACCATGAATCAGGTCCAGATGCCCTCTGCCACAGGGGTGAGGCTGTCGCCTGAGCTGGCCGGTGGTCTGGGAGGTGGGGAACCCACCAGGAAAGAGCTGTGATCCAGAGACCTGTGCCATGTCCTGGGATGCTGAGATGACTGGCCCAGCTCCACGGAGAGAGGGAGAACAAAGAGCGAGGTCTCAGCCAAAACAGCATTGCAGGGCCATCAGGGAAAGGAGCCCTGGGCAGGGAGGCACCAGCCCTGACTTCCAGGCTCATCTGCAACAAAAACAGGCATGGAGGCCCAGGCAGATGGCTTCACCTCTCTGGGCCTATTTTATCGTAAATAAAATGTGACTTCTACAACTGTGTGGCCTCTCTAGTCTGATGGAGTTGTGAGGTGGGCCGGGGGGCAAGTGGGGTGGTGACTGAGACTTGAGAGATGCTGGGGAGAAACAGGGGAGGATGTGCATCTCCCTCATCCAAAGCCAGGCTTTGTAATGCTGCTTCCCCCTAGTGGTAGCAGGGAGTAACAGACTTGGTCTTCTGGGAACATCACACTGGTCATTTCCCCTGCCTTTCCCTGCTTCCTGTGGACTTCTCCTCAGGACAGAGGGAGAGCATTCTTAGTGGGCTTTGACAGTCATTGGCTCTCAGGGCTGTGTGCATTCTATGTGGACAGAAAGACAGTCATAACCTATGCACAGCATATCCACAGCAATGCTTGGGACAGCACAGGTTAATTCACTCTGCAGGAGCTGATGGAGAGTCTGCAGCATGCAGGGGGCACTGTGCCAGGCCCTGGGGATCCTGAGGACTTGGCACATTATTCTTGCCCTCAGACAACCTCTGTCCAATTGGATAGCAGACAGGGAAAACTGCAGGTTCTAGAGAAAGTGGTAGAATGTGGGGGATGCGCAGAGGCATGACATATTGTATGAGTAACACTTGGAAGCACGTGGCCAGCAACAGTAAGTTCCTGTCTGACTGTGGATTTGCCTGGACACATGGGTCTCCAGCCTGATAGGCTACTAAGCCTTTGCCTCTAGGGTAGGGGTTTCTCTCCCTGCAAGGTCATCCCTCCTAGTAGGGCAACTGGATTTCTACCTGTGCCTGCCCACTCTAGTTGGGAATGGATGCAGCAGGGAATCAAGACCTTGCCTTCATCCTCCTTGGTCCAAATCTCTCCTCCCCAACCCTGCTCTGGGGCCCTGTATTCCAGAGAGTGTAGAGAGCATTAGGTCTCCCTCCCAGGCCAAGCTCTGGGGGTCTCCCAGCTCCAACAACACATTGTGGGGCAGATAATGGGAAGTTGAGGCTTCTGGAGGCTTCTGAGGCTGGGCTGGAACTCAGCCTGTGTGAGGCAGAACATAGAAAGGGTGGGAGAAGCAGCAAGTGTGTGTGTGTGTGTGTGTGTGTATGTGTGTGTGTGTGTGTGTGTGTGTCACACACACATACACACACACACACACTAGGGTGAGGAGTCTGGCTGCGTCACTGTTGCTGGGAAAGTAGCTGAGTCTGACTCAGTGGGAACATCCGGCAGGAAAGAAGGAAGAGCACAGTGGCATTTGCAAGCAGGATGGGAACTCTGGGGCTGCAGGGATGGGGTGGGGCCAGGGGTGAAGGCCTGAACAGGAAAGGGGCTGAGTGTGATGGAGAAGGGGATGGGCTGAAAGTGTGATTCCAGGGGAGGAGAGGTGGGCCTCTAGCTGCCTGGGCTGATCTGGGAGGAGAAAGAAGGCAATGGTGCTTTTTGATCCAGACACAGAAGGGACAAGTTGTGGTGAGAGGTTAGGGAAACTGAGGCCTGGTCAATCAGGAATGTGGGGAATGCTGAGGTTTCTGACATTCACTCCAGGGCCTGGGTATTAGTGCCTTGTAACTACTGATACTGAATGAGATGCCAGGCACTCCTAAGACAGAGAGAGCATCCACCCCTCTCCCCAGCACCTCAAGCCTTGGGCCTCTGAGGTCCCAGGATGGGACTGCTCATTAGGCTGGTCCCTGGGCAGAGACACTGGCTTAGGCGTATGAGGTTGATTTAGGAGAGGTTTTCCTCAGAAGGCCTTTGTTCTCCTTTAGAGTTAGAGAGGCTGAAATGGTCAGCATCGGAGAGCAAGGCCAGGAAGGACCCAGTGTGAGGAACTGGAGAAAGGAAGGCTAAGGGCCTTGGAGAAAGGCTCAGCTTTTCATACAGAAGCTTGCCAAGAGTAGCTTTTCTGGGAAATACAGAGAAGACAATGTTCAACCTAAAGGGACCAATGACTAGTGGTAGCATTTTAGGTATGTGTAGTACGTGCTGGCCTAGGAGGCTTGATCATTTTGAGTGATGAGAGCCAGGGGAGGCATCGTAATGGGGGGGTGTGCGTCAGACCACAGAGCTGGATGGACTGGGCTGTGTCCCATAGGCCTCTTTTACTAATGTGAGGCACAAAGGCCTCTGCTATCTACCTGTCTTGTCCACAGTGGGGTCCAGGATGGGGTCCTGTTGGAGCATAGGACCTTGGGTGAAGGCAGGTCCTGGGGGACAAGGCCTCCTGTGTGGGCTCGACCCACCAGAAAGAAGTCTCCGCCAGTCTGTCTGGGGACACTGGGGCAGGGCGGGGAGAGGTGCTGGGCAGGACCAGCTGTCTGCCAGTGCCCTGGTCCTCGCCCTCTGAGAGGGGAAGGGTGGGGGTGGCGGCTGCAGTGTTCCTGGCTGGGAGCCCAGAGGAGTCTTTTGTAATCACAACATGATCTCGTGTGCTGAGCAGCGAAGCCGGCAGGGAGAGGCCGGCAGAGGCCCGGCTCCGGTGGCTCCAGCTTCCCTCCTGCTCTGGTTCCCCCGGGGCTGTTCTGGAATTCTCTTGGTGCTCGCTGTTGCCATGCACTCAGCTGTGAGTGGCACCTTGCCTTTGGCGGGGGGCTTCTTGGGGCTGGGGAGGGCTGAGATACCAGGTAGCTACATTCCAGGGACAGCTGGGCCTGGGAGGAAGAGGACTGAATTGAGGAGGGTAGCGGGCTGGCCAGGGGCACTGGCTACAACAGAGACCCCGCAGCCAGGCAAGGAGGGACCCAGGATCTCGATGCAGGGACATGGTTTGCCCTGGAGGGCTCCCTGGCCGAGGCTAAAACATAGATACCCCTTTTTGCCTTGTCTGCCAGTGGCTCAGGCCTGGAGGGCTGGGCCCGTGGGAGCGGTTCTTTTCTGCGGGTTGGGGTTAGGTCCAGAGAGTGGGGTCCAGAGCCTGAGAGCCCAGGACCAAGCTAGAAGACCCTTTTTATCTGTGGTTTTGGATTGGAAGGCAAACAGCTCCCCCCTCGACCTCCCAAATCTCCTGGCAGCTTCCCAGTCACGGCAGGTTCCACTGCCAGAGCCATTTATAACTCCTATTCCAGGCGCTGCTCGGCAGTGAGCTCCCTGGAGAGCCAGGGGGAGGGGCAGCTGCTGCTGGGCACTGTGGTCATGAGTATTAGACCCTCACCTGTACCCTGGAGGAACTGGGATGGAGGCTTGGGGACTTCTATGGACCACCTTCCTAACTCCAACCCTCATGTGTGGCCTGAACTATGAGTCTGGGGCCTGGTTCCTAGGTTGTTAGAATAAGGCTGATTGGGTAAATGTGAAAGGTGGGGTACAGGTGGGGTAGGCCCAGTAGTCAGGAGCGTGGGTTCCCTGCCCTTTGTAGGGGCCTCACAGAACTGAATCCCTGATGAGCAAGCAAGAAGAGAAGGATGCTGAGCTGGATCGCAGGATAGTTGCCCTGCGCAAGAAGAATCAAGCCTTATTACGTAGGTACCAGGTGAGTGGGCTGCGACAGGGCTGAGAGGACCAATTTGGCTGGTGCCCCTGGCTGACCAAAAGGTGGCTATCTGCATGACGGGCTCTCCCTGCAGGCTAGAATGTGTCTCTAGACCCAGGACCAGGGTTGGGGTGAACATGTTCCCTCTCAGAAGCTTGGTCAGGGTCTCAGGCACTTGTGATGTGGTGTCTCTGCCCTCTGGTGTCCCCCTGGTGTCTCTTCATGTAGGCCTGTCAGCATCTGTGTCTCTGTGCATCTGGGGGGCCGTGGCCTGTGTTGACCCCCAGCCCTCCCACAGGAGATCCAGGAAGACCGTCGGCAGGCTGAGCAGGGGGGTATGGCTGTGACTACATCCGAGCTCCTCCGACCTGATGGCCTCACCGTCACCATCAGCCAGATTCCTGGTGTAAGCTCACCCTGGAGATAGGGCAGGATGGCAAGGAAGGAAGTCCAGCCCATGTCAGGGGAGGACAACTGCCTCTGGCCCTCTTCTATTTACCATTCTGGATTCACCCATTAACTCCTCATGCAGTCCAGGTCGAAGCTAAAAGGACACCTAATAGAAGTCTCCCTATAGCCTTTCCCATCCCCACAGCCTGCATCTTTGCCTTAAGCACAGACTTCTGCTAATCCCCAGAGCCAGGTCTAAAAACCCTGCAGGAAGTGGGGGACAGAGAAGTTGGGGTTGAAAGCCAGGAACAGTTTCTAAAGGACAAAGCTGCATTGTCTGAGAGCTCTAAATTTCCCAGCTCAAAGATGACGAGCCATTGTGGCATCTTGAGCCTTGGGTGGCCCTGGGCCCTGGATAACCTAATGCTGTTGGCATGTGAACTCCCCATAGAACCAGCTTCTCTGGGCATTCCAGGGAGGGCCCAGGCTAGAACTCAAGCCTAGGAAATACCTAAAGAACCCAGCACCCAGGTCCTGCCCAGCACTGCTCATGTGGCCTGAAGGCATGGACACCTGATTCTGCAGGAAAAGCGGGTGGTCAGCAGAAACTGGGCAAGGAGCCCCCTCAAACCTGGAGTGGCCCATGAGATGCTTGAGGATGAAGATGATGGGGACCAAACTTTCTTTTTGGGGGAACGAGTGGAGCTGGCCGTGACCATGGAAAATAAAGCCAAGGTGAGCAGGTGTGGGGAGCATCCAGACCTCAGAGTAGGGGCAGTCTCCTGTCCCTGGCCCTTCCATGCTGTCCATCTTCACCTTCTCCAGGCCAAACGGATCGTAAGTGAAAAGCCTGCCAGAGCAAGGAACCAGGGGACAGATCAGCCACTTGGAGCAAGCCAGGGCCACAGCCCCTCCATGCAGATAGCCACCAGCTCAGATTCTTCACGGAAGGTACATTTTCAAGAAAGGATGGGGTCATGAATGTAACAGTCCCCACTTGGGGGAGGCAAAGAAGCTGAGTCAGACTCTCATCAGCAGGATATGACCTAGGTAGCACCTGTGAGAATTTCTGCCCCTCCATCCTTTCTGTGGCCAGTTTCTACTTTTGGTGGATTTTGGGGGAGAGACAGTTGAAGCCAGAGATCCAGCCCCCTCCCTATCTAGTCTGGCTGGTGGCGGCCAGTCGGGAGGGTGTGGAAGACTGGCCATGTGCCAGCTGTGACCTCTAGGTGGCAGCAGCCCCTAGTCCTCGTTCTTGCTCAGAGCCTCTGGATGTCCCTCCCACCCTGGGCCACTCTACACACCTCTGCAAGGACCCTATGTATGGGTGCTGTTGTTAGCCTCATTTTGTAGATGAGGATATGATACACAGAGAGGTTTAGTTACTTTCCCCAAACTCATATCTAACAAGTGGATGGAAATCATGGCCATGGCACATTAGTAGAGATGGAACAAATCTAATTTTTACATGGGAACGTGGAAACCTTGAGAAAAGAGTGGGTTAGTGGACCCTCCAGACAACCACTTCAATCTTTTTCCTGCTTCTTCTCCACCCCACTTCTGGGGCTGAGTGTCTTCTCCTTTCAGGGTGCTCGTGAACCCCGGAGTCCCGGCGTGGTCCCAGGCCTAGCTCCCAGAAGGCCAGTGGGGGAGCCCCCAGAGGTGGGCTGGGACTATGCACAGTGGAAGCAGGAGCGGGAGCAGATTGACCTGGCGCGCCTTGCCCGGCACAGAGATGCACAGGGTGACTGGCGCCGCCCGTGGGACCTGGACAAGACCAAGCCCACGTGGGTGGCAGGGCTGCAAATCTTGCTGGGCTGACATGCTAATGGAGCTGGGGTAGGGCTACGTGTGGGTGCTGCTTGGAGGGAGAGATCCTGCTTGGGCCCTCTGGTAAGGCCCTGGGCTCAGGGCTTATGTGGGTACTGGGTGCCCCCACCTCTCTCTTTGGCCCATCATCTCCCTGCTGCCTTCAGTTCTGGGGCTGGGGCTGGGGGAGGCTGTGTTAGTATGGGGCCTGAAGCAACTTCTGTTCACCCAGCCACCAGCAACCTGACTCCCTCCTCTGTCTACACAGGCTACAGGACTGCAGCAAGCCTAGGGACGAGGGCTCGGCCAGGGCGGGAGGCAGAAGGGGTGAGCCAACCCCACCTCATCCCCTGCACCTTGGCATTTCTCACTCTCCTCCTTTTCTCTGTTTCTTGGTTTCCTACTTCTTTTCAGAGCTGAAAGGAAGCATGGGAGGATATCTTCCTCCTCTCTTGCACCATCAGACCTCCTCGACTGTCCTCTGAGTCCACAGCTTTGCTGGTTCTGGCCCCAAAGTCCCCTGGAGGAGGTTTCGTGGAAGCTTGCCTCCACTGGGGTCTTTCAAGGCCTCAGTCTATACTGGGTGAAAGTCTGACTGGTCCTCCCCTGGCCTATTGCAGAAACAGCCTGTGGATTTCTGGTGCCCTCATGCTATGTACAAGGAGGCTGGGGCCCCCAAAGGCCAATCAGGTCATCTAGCCAGGAAGTGGCAAAACTAGCACAGGAGGCCAGGTGGGGGCTTTTCTGGGGAAGTAGAAAACCCACAACTGGATCAGGACTGGTAACTTCCTGGTACTAGAAGAACTGGTGTTTCTGCTTTTGATCATTAATCGCCCCACCCTTTCCCCCATTTCCTTTGTCCCTCTTTAGGACCCAGGACCCACTGGAAGATACAGCCCCCACCATTGCCACCTGATGGAAAAGGTGAGTTGGGGGAGAAGAAGCAGGATCCCATCAGCTGGTGAGATACCAATTGCTTCAGCCTTCTTCTTTCCTTAATTTGTGGACCATCTCCTGCAGGTCGGGGTGGACAGCTTGGCAGACCCTCCGTGGCGATAGCCACAGTCAGCAAAGCCCGAGGAACAGAAAGGCTGACTGGCAGAGCCCGAAGGTAATAGGTAGCAGGGGACAAAAATCAAAGCAGGCATCTAGTTGTCCTGACTTCTTGGACAGGGCTGGATCCAGGTGCCTGTTCTGTCCCCTGGGCCCCTGCCTCCTTGCTGGCTGCTGTTGCTGCAGGTTAATGAGATACCAGGAGAGACCAGCAGCAGAGGCAGCAGGAACAGAGCCTGGCGCTCAGGGAGGCCACAGTAATTACAGCAGCTCCCTTCCCCTGGGAAGTGAGGAGTGCCTTTCTCAGGCAGTGCAGGCAGGGACATGCCTGGAGTCCCCATAGGAATTCAAGGTGTGCAACTAAGGTACAGCAGGCTTGGCCATAAACAGCAGCTGGGGACCCAGGATGGGGCCAAGGTGGGTAGCATTTAGGGGAAATGGTTGGAGTTGGGGAACAAAGCCAAACTGGGAGGGAAGCATTCTGGAATTTTATTCTGGGTCTGATTTTTCTCTGAGAACCTTGGGCTTTAGCTTCTCTCTGGGCGACATGGGCACTGGCTGGGGTGATGTGAAATGAGGTAAGGGTTCGCATAGGGCCTGCCACATGCTCTGTTCCTACAGGTGGGACATGAAGGAAGATAAAGAGGAGCTGCAGAGTCATGAAGTGGGTACTTGGAGACTGGATGGGGTGGGCTGGGGACATAATCCCTGAGTTTGCCAGCCAGCCAGGCTATTCTCTTGTTTCAGGGAAGCCAGAGCTCCAGAAAGACATCCAGTGCAGAGGAGGAGCATGAACAGAAGCAGAGCGAGACAGAGCCAGGCCGACTAGAGAGGATTCCTGCAACTAGCCCAACCCTGCCATCCCCAGAGGGGCCACAAGGGGACTCAGCAGCCTCCACAGCCAGTTCAGTCCCTTGCTCTCTGGAAGAAACTGACTTGGCTCCCCTTGACCTCTCTCTAGGAGGAGCCAGCAGTCCTGGGCCTGGAGAGAGCATTTGTATGCTCAGTCCAAGGCCTGAGGCCCAGGAGAGTTCTGTGTCCTGGCCAGATGGCTCTGAGCAGCAGCCCCTGGGATGGAATGCCCAGCAGTCTGGGCTAGATGTCCAGACTTGCTCTGAGCCACAGAAAGGAACCGGGGTTTTAGAGCCCAGAGAGGACAAGTCTAGCAAGGCAGGGGCCCAACAGAGACTGGTATCAAAAAGCAGGGCCCCCAGAGGAACAGGTCAAAGGGGGAGAGGCTCAGGTGTGAGGAGTAGGACAGGAGGTCCTGGCCCTTCAGGAAGATGCTGAGCATAGTGCATGGGAGATGGGGATCCAGGCTGGGGAGAAGAGGAGGGAAGAACTCAGTTGAGAGTCTTCTGCATGATGGGCATCTGATTGCCAGTGAGCTTGTGCCAGTCTGACTGAGCAGTGTGGCAAACTCTGTGGCAGGGCCATCTTATGAGGGCAAGGAGTTGCCTCCTCCCTGCACAGGATGTACACATCTCTGTGCAGTTTTCATGTACAGGCACAACCCCTGGTGTATTCCTAAGCTGGTGCCTGGTGTCTAAAGCTGGTATCACTGACCTGGGCCTACTGCTGCCCAAGCCACAAGTCTTTCCTACCTTTGCAAGACAGCAAAGCTTAGTAGCACCCAGCAATGGACTCTCTTACTCCCCATTGTCCCCTGGGGCCTGGCTGCTCTCTCCAGCTGCAGGCTTTTGTCTCTTCAGGTCCAGGTAGCCTCAAAACTGTCACAGCCAACTCAGGCTCAAGCCCTTTCCCATACCCCTGCCTTTCACCCAGGTGACCCAAGTCCCAGACCCCTGGGATGGCCAAACCAGGGGAATCTTGCCAGCCTCCTGTTTCTCCTGGAAAGGAGGATGAGATCCAGAAAGAGGGAGGTCTTGCAGCTGACAGGGATTGGATTGGGAAGAGAAAGGAAGGTGTCTGAAAAGGTCTTCTCTCTGCAGTGAAATGGGCTGGGCAGGGGACCACCTCCTGTGCCCACAGCAGGTGGGAGAGCTCACTAGCAGGCATGCCCCTCTTCAACACCCAGGTCAGACATCCCATGCACTCTGAATGGAGACAAGGGCCTGGCCCTGCATCTTGGGGTCCTTTCCTGCCTTTTCTTTCTTTTTCTCTTCCCCCAACCTCTCCACTGTGGACTCAGAGACTTGAAAGACAGAACACAATTCCAGCTAAGTACGGACATTAGGACTTGTCTTTCTGACTTAATCTCCATTCCTACCCCTCCCTGGAGGCCCACGTCTGGTGAATTATCCAGGCTCTGCACAAGCTGTGGCTTCCTTTCAATTCAGTGAACATTTCCTGAGCACCCTCTACCAGTAATCTACCCGGTGGGCGACAGTGACTCTGCAACTCAGTCATCCGGCAGCTCTAGGCTGAACAGCGGGAGCTGTTCTTGGCTGTAGGTGCCTGACAGTGCTGGGGGCAGAATGGTGGTAGGAGCCCAAAGAGAACCATTGCATCTATGCTTGGCTGAGGCAGGTGTTCCTCTCTTTTTTATGTGACACATGCCATTTATTCCTGAGTTTGTGCCTGGATCTCACCGTGGCCCCTTCTGCTTCCTTCCTCTCTGACCCTACATGGTTATTCCTTTCTGGAGGGTTGTGGGCCTCTCATTGCCTTCTGAGGCTCTAGGGAGACTCCTGATCATATCCAAGGTGACTCCACCATTATATGTGAGGCCTGAACTGGGGGGTCCTAGCTCAGGCTTCCTCACTAGCTTTTGGCTTCACTCCCAGCCCGCCTACTCAGAAAGGGGTATCTCTTCCTGACTGTTTAGAAAACTCTTCTCACACTCTCATGTGAAGAGTCATGCAGATTCTAATGTCAGGTCTGGGGAAAACCTGAGAGCTTGCACCTCTCATAGGCCCCAGGTGAGGCCTCTGCTGTTGGCTCCTGAACCGTACCTTTTAAGTGGCAAGGGTCTGGACTATAAAATATGTTGAGGACTGGGGGCCAAGGCCACCTCTAGATTCTAAGAATGGGTTACTGGCTTTGTAGGGATTGGGGGAATGCTACCCTTACCAGGTGGAGGGGGCTTCCTGGCTTCAGAGTACAGTGGGAAACAGAGGCTCCTGGGAAGATACTTTAGAGGGCAGTGTCAACTCCCTGGTACACCAAGAAGCAGCTGGTCAGGAATGTGATGGGATGAAGCTGGTGAAAGCGTTGGTGTGGGGTTGATCAATGGAAGTTTAAAAAGGCTTGGAAACATTCCTATGCATGTGGGGTGTACCTGGGCCAAGGGTGAAGTATCCAAACTCAAGTTTTCCTCTTGCTTTCCTAGTCACAATTATATGACTTTGGAGTGTGGCACAAGTCCTGGAGCCCATGACTCCCAGAGAATGGGACTTGGGTAGAGCAGGTTTAGGCAGAGCCCTTGAATTCAGATGTCTGAAAACTATTGCAATCAAGAATTTGATTTCTGGACTGAGGATGTAGCTCAGGGATAGAGTGTATGTTTAACATACATAGAACCCTGTGTTCAATCCCCAACACAAGAGAGAGAGAGAGAGAGAGAGAGAGAGAGAGAGAGAGAGAATTCAAGAAAGAGAATTTGAATTCTAAGAATCACAATTTGTTCCCAAGCCCCAATACTTGTACAGATATGCCTTCAGTTCAGGTTATAGACCAAAGCATGTTTGACCATGGGATGAGAATGTTGAAATTGGGCAGAGCTCTGGTTCAGTTAAAAAGGTTCCTAAGCAGGAGAGAAAGCTGGGCAGATGGGCTATGAGGACATGAGGCAGAATTCTTTCCACAAGGTAATGTCCAGAAAGCTGTTAGGAGGAAGAATGTCCTAAGGGTAAGAGAAAATAGATACTAGTGTTAGATATCTTCATCTAGAAGGTAGTAGTACAGGTAAAAATCACTGAACTTTTCCTGAAACGGGAATTCTCTTCTTTGTGACAAAGGAAGCGACAGTTATAGCGGCCACCCCTCTTGCTCTAGGATAGAACCAGCTATGGAGCAGGAGGGAAGTGTAGTTAGGCAGGAGAGAAGTGTAGTTAGGCAGCCCGCCATAGCCCTCAAGGCCTTGGAGAGCTGACAGTATCCTTTCCTAGCTCCTTTGTTTAATGGCTTGGCTGATGGAGCCTTCGTTTAGGATGCCCTTTTCCTCTCCAACCACCAGACAAGACTACTCTTCAAAAGTGAAAGTCCATCAGAGTCTAGGGATGTGGCTCAGTGATAAGAGGGCTTGCTTAGCATGCTTGAGGCCATGGATTCAACCTCCAGCACTACAAAAAAGAAAAAAGGTTATCAGGAACCCAGGGGTATAGTGCTGGAGGAGGTGAGCAAGGAGGATACACAGAAGTGAGAAGGAGCCAGCAGGGAGAGTTCTCAAAACAAGGAGAGGAGGAGAGGCCAAGGCCTTTTTGTCTGGGGCCCATCTCACTTTGACAAAAGGGGAATACAATAGACCAGACTTCCAGAAAGGTACATGTTTTGATGACAAGCAGTGTGGTGGAGTGGAACAAACACAGGTCTTGCCCTGCAATAGACTGAATCTGAACCCTAGGCCTGTCATCTGTCAGATGGGTGACCTTGGCCAATTGTAACTTCTAAAAGCCTCAGTCTCCTTATCTGAAAAATGAGACTAGTAATATCCACCTTGAAGGATTGTTGAGAAAATTAAAGATAAGAGCATGCAAAATATACCTGGCATGCAGGAGCGACTCAAGTAGCAGTGGCCTGGCACATAGGAGACACACAGTGAATTTGCTGAATAAACAAAATGGCTATTTGGTGTAATCTCTGTCTACTTTGTTCTCTCTTTCCTTTAACTTTCTCTTTTACCTTCCTCCTCACTGGGAACCAATGGATTCTCAGGCAAATGAGGCATGGTTTGTAACATTTATCCAGTCCTTCAGGACAGTTTTTTTTTTTAAATCCCTTGGGTTGTCTGGTGGAGTTAAAAGCCTCACCAAAAGTCCCTGCTTTTACAGAGTCCTTTGTCCTCATGGACTGGCTCTATCAGTTTCCCCCTTAACTCTGCACATAAGCTCTCTGGCCTACAGTAGTTCCTCTGCTGTTTATATTAGGAACAACTTCATAAATTCATATCACAGTTTTAATTTCTTTAATATTTTCCCCAGAAACTAACCCCCTTGGGGAGTGTGTTCTGTGCCTCACAGAGTTAAAACTCGCCACCCAAAGGAGAAGTATGACTTCATTTTCTTATGGTCAAGGAACAGGTAATTGGGGATCTTTGGAAGCAGGAGATTCCCAGCTATCTAACAAGATGCAAGTCTGGGAGGTCTGATCACCTGTCAACTCCACATCTGACTGTGTCCTCAGGGTCAGGAACAGGAGGAAAGATGATACTAGACCTCATTAAAACAATAACAATAAAAATAAGGAAATGGCAAAATTTCCACATGGCTGTTTTTTTTTCTTTTGTAGATTAAATTGGGGGTGGGGGTTGGGGGGGCAAGGTAATAGGAAAAACTAAAGACACCATTTTACTTCTGTCTCTTATGTCATTTATCAGTGTCTACAGATTCTGCCAGCATCTCTTTCTGCACCAGGGTTAGTTATCAGGGTTTATGAGGAAAGGCTGATGGATGACCACTCCTCCCTGCAGGGGTGAACTCAGGGCTGGGAAAGGCAATGAGAGGAGCCAGCAGAAAGCATGGGGCGAAGCTGCTTTCTCTCAACAAGTCTGCTGAGCCTACGTCACAGCTCTCATTAAGCATCCACTTGACGCCAGGGAAGTGAAATAGCACAGACCTGGCACAGAAAGGACAAATGTGGCACCCACTGCTCCTTTTAAGGACTGGCTCGAAAAGCGGCAGGCCCCAGAGCAGGAGGTGAGGCAAACACATCAGTACCTTTGAGGGAGAGGGAGGAGGACTCTGCCTCCTTCTTAACAAGCTCTCCAGGGCAAGTTCTCCTGCAACTGTCAAAAAATAATGGAAAGTGTAGGCTCTTTTCCCTTTTCTTACAAACTCCAGGGACACAATATTTCCTCTTCCCCCAGCAGGGCAACTGGCTTCAACAAAGCAAAAGGTCATAAGTCACACTGATGAACAGCTGTCAAAATAGAAATATCCTAACCCTAAGCTACAGACTCAGAGGAAAAGACTGGGATAGCAGTTCTCCAACTTCAGTGTGCATCAGAAACACCTAGAAGGCTGCTTAAAACAGAAGACTGGCCAGGTGCAGTGTGGCACATGTCTATAATCCCAGTCACTTGGAAGGCTGAGGCAGGAGGATCACAAGTTTGAGACCAGCCAGGGTAAAAAGTGAGACCCTGCCTGAAAATGAAAAATATCTAAAGGGTTGGGGATGCAGCTCAGTGGTAAAGTGCCCCTGGCTTCAATCTCCAGTACCAAAACAAACAAATAAAATCCAAAACACCAGAAGGCTGGGATCTACTTCCTGAGTTGCTCATTCAGTTGGTCTGGGATAGGACCTGAGGTGTCATAGTTCTACCAAGTTCTCAGGTGATGTTGTTGGTCTCAGCACTGGTGTCATGTTTACTACATACCCCTTCATATTTATTTCCATGCATCAATTTTACCCAGTGGGCCAGACATTCCTTTGAAATGTGTATACACTATTTTTTTATTCCAAGATGTCAAAGCCCTTTTACATTTCTGACTTCCTTTTGCTCTCATGAGGTTCCCTTTGGCTGGCAGAAAAGAGAAGTCAAGGGGTCTTGACAAATGCCACTGTTGAGTCCCCAGGTTTCCTATCTTGCAGTTCAGGGGTCCCATCCAAGAACACACTGCTTCCCCACTCAGATCCTAGTGATGCCATGAGCTGCCTGCTCAAAAGATTGGCTACTCTGACTAAACACTGCTCAGGACACCAGCAGTGAGCTTAGAGGGCTGGTGGCCTCCAGGTCACAAGTCAGAGAGACATTAACTAATCAATATGAACATTGAGGGAGCAGAGAAAGGTAAATTTAAAAGGAAATCCTTGGTGATTAACACGATTGCTTTTATTGAACCAAGTTTTTTTTTTTTTTTCTTTTCGGGACTTTTGTGGCTCACTTGGCAAATGTATAAACAAATAAATAGTTCTTGTTTTGATAATAGTGGTTTATGAAAAATATCTCTTAAGATATTAGTTGGAGTCTTATTGTTATTTAACTGAAAACTATTGCAAAAACAGATTAGTTAAATTAAGAAAACAGGGCAGTTTAGCAAGGGAAGACACTTGTGAACATGATTATAAACTGTATGGTAATTTTCTTCACCCATCTTGTAGCTTAACCAACATTTTTAGAACTGAATGAGGCATAGGAAATCTGGCTTGGGTAGAGTGTTCCTCACTGACCAGAGGGGGTTCACATGCACAGTGTACCACATGGAGCCAGGACTATTTCTGACAGAGAATGGACAGCCTTGTAGAGTCTGGGTATGTGGCAAAGGGAAGCTTCTGTTTAATTAACTACTGGAGGGAACAAAAAGCACAACATAGGCTTTCTGGCAACCTTAAACCACAGGCTATATAGTGAAACAGATGTGACCCCAAACAAACAAACAAAAAACTGTTAACAGAGCAGCTATTTTTAGAACTCATCATTAGGACTGGGACAGAGAAAACAATGAATAGGTCACATAGCCTATATTGTGTCCATTAAGCACCACATAGAATATAACAGTAGACTTCTGGCACCAGGATAGTATAGGAAACCCAAGCCTGAGTCCATTGACTTGGAAATAAACTGAGGCCAGAGAGGTCAGCAAGGCTAAAATTTGCAGGGGTCCTCTTGCACCAGGGCTGTGGTTGGTTACACATACCCAAGTGGATTATGCCAGGGATGCCACAATGACATTAGGGCCAATACCATCCAACACAGCGATCAACCAGGTGTTCAATAAACTCTGAGTAGCTACTGTTTTGTGCTTGGAACTAAGTACTAGTAATAATAAATGAGCAAAGCCATTATAGTCCCTTCCTCCACCAAGGGAGGAGGAAAAAAAATGTACAACTCTGGCCCTTTTGTTACTGAATTGCAATTCCAGAAATATCTCCATTCTCTCTAGACAGGAAGGGGAGGACAATTATTACCCTTTTAAATAGCTGTGGTAGCCCTGAAACTTGGGACCTGACCTTTTAGTTCTCCTTAAAGAAACATGTAGGAACAAGTAGATGCTCTGCATTCAGCATTTCAAAACAGGATATAAATACTCAACTAAAAAATACACTATCTTAGAATTCCCCAGTGAAAACTGAAAAACAAGGTAGACAAAAAATCTTTCAAAACCATGGTCTCATACCATGTAGAAATCTTCAGCTACTAGGAAAACAAATATTTCTTATACTTAACACTTCAGAGAAACACTTTTTTTGCACCTGAATATTGATAGAGGAAAAAAAGGTACTCTCACAAGATCAGCCCAAAGCGTTCTTTGACCCTATACCTTCTAGAACTTCCTTTGCAAAAAAGGATTCTCTCTTCTTTCAAATTTAGGCTGCCAGGCAATAAATGCACATATATGCAAATACCTAGAAATGGTCCTAGTAGCACTAGTGCAAAGGAATAGAAGGAAAATAACCCCATTTGCACAGATCTTTCCTTGGCTTAAAACCTAATGAACGATTTTCTAGCTCATTTCTAACTCTTGCAAAGCAAAAGCTGTTCTGACCACTGCTCCCAGCCAACCAGGCCCTGTCCTAATCTGTCAGTAGACTCCTGCTGTACCTACTACTCTCTCTGTGCCCAATGTGTGAAGCCATGTGCAGCTGCAGAAACCACTTGTCACCATCTGCAGAAAGGAGGGGCTGACTCAAAAGAGCCTGGAAACTCTTTCACTCCCCTTCTGCTCTGCCTTACCAAGCCCTCTCACAGAAAGCCATTGTGTAGGCTGAAGAGGGAAATAAAGGAAGGGCGGACTTTTTCCATGCCTCCCTGCAGACTACAAGGTGATGTAAAAGCACAGTGGCTACCCCCCAACAGCTCTGGTGAAGTACAGGCCTCAGGGGGCCCCACCAACACTGGCTTCTCACTCCGGATTTGTACCGGGTAGCATTGTCTAATAATGAGCTGAGCTCAATTGCTTACCATGTATTTTGCAGCATAACTAATCCCTTATATTTGTGCTTTTCACCCACATGTCTTTTTTGTTTGCTTTTAAGGGGAGGAAAATCTTACCTTTGAAGCAACCTATACCTCTCAGCCACTGGGCTCAGCGGTAGACAAAGCTCTGACCAAGTAGTGAAGCAGCATCAGTTTGTCTTTCCTAGTGTTAACACTTCCTGCCTGAGTTACCTAGGGGCTAGAGGTTTACCAGTGAGAACAGTGATGCCATCAGGCAGCTTATCCTCATCTCAGTACTGTGTCCAAAAAAATGTTTGCAATAAATTTTAATATCCATGCTTACTGGTCCTTTAGCTTTGTCAGACAGGCATCAACTCAGAGTCCTTTTAAAGCAAAATCTTTTCATCCTTTTTAAGGTTAACAAAAGGTGGTTGAGCTAGATACCACTGTTCTTCTGATCCCATGATTGCTTCTTGACTAAGATGGAGTCTGCCACCCTTCATGAATCAATTTGGTCAAGCCATTGGGCATTGAGCACAGCAAGACAATTGCTTTTTTCTCCTAAACCTATTTATCACCACTCATATGCCACATCTCAGATCACCTCCACTCTTTCCCACAAAGTCGATAAGAAAAATGATCGATTTACACAGGCTTAGGCAGAGTTCTTAGAATGTATTTTTGTTCACCTGAAAAATAAAACTTTTAAAAAATATACAGGACTTTTTGAGTACAGGTATATTTTGAATGGCTGAATTATAAATAACGTCTCTGGTCATGTTCACAGCTAGGGCTGGAGCAAATGTCCCAATTCCAGTGAAGGCTTTAAAGAGTCAGGAGGCCAGCTGGACCCACGAGTGGTCTCACTGGACTCTCTGATCCATCCCAAAGTGAATTTAAACAGTCCAGAAAGCAGGGTTAGGGGGACAGGGGACTAGACTCCAGATGTTCTTCTGAGAGTCCAAAAGGTTCTTGGGAATAAGAGATCAATTTACAAATTATTAAAATATAGGACTAAAAATTCACACAGTAAATATAAATTACAGGCTATTATTGAAGTTATAAAGTGGCATTTTATGTTTCTTACCCCAGTCTCTCACCAAAAATTTTAAAAAGCCTCATAGGCTTCCTAATGACTGAAGTCTTAGTTGGCTGCTAAGAAACCTCCTCTAAGCCCAGGCTGTTACCAGCAGGGAGTTACCAGCCTGCCAGTAGGCTGCAACAGCTCAGTTGCTATTTTCTTGCCCACAACAGGACATGGCTTAAAGCAAGGCTATTGTCCTGTAAACTTGGATAAGCGCTAACTAGAGGGTAGGCCAGAAAAATGGAAAGACAAACTGTTTCAGGACTCAGGTGGATAAGTTTTCTTTTCTAAAGTGCCTCATTTCCCAAAAAGGAAACGCTAAGGGGTCTGATATCTTGTCACTACCCACACTCAATTGCCTAAAAGCAAGTGGCAGAAGGAAATGGAATCCAAATTGAGGAAGTATAATTCTTGCTGCCCCAGAGCCATACATGTGTCATTTCTCTGGATGTTTGTCACCTCCTCTATAAAATTATAGGCTGCGTTTAAATGGGGCTTATCAGGAAAGGTAAACTAATTCAATCTTCCCATAGCTGGTCTCTTAGCTGGCTATCAAAACACAATCTTTAAACACAGTAAGTAAGCACAATCCTGAGTTTGAAGCCTACCTTTCTGATTCTGCAGTCTAACTCAAAACCAGAGAACATGATCAAAGCTCTGGTTTTACAAGATTTTGTCCCAACTGTGGAGCAGCTCTGTTGCTACAGGCTCAGGAAAGAGGGAAGGCAAAGGTGAACAAGACAAGATCTTGAGGAGCAGGGGAAAAATAAATAATTAAATAAAACTCCTGACATTCTACTTACAACAACTTGTTCTTTCAAAAAGAAGGGGAGGGGAAGTTCAGGATTAAAGCACAATGGCACTGCTCTTTCCCTTCCATTGTCTCTGGCACACATCCAGATACTCAGAGCTGCAACAGGAAGCCACTTTGGTGGGGGCACTAGGGTGGGAAGAGGAGGGGATCAGTACATTCTTCACCCTCCCTAAACTGCTTCCACTTCTAAGGTTTTTTTGTCATGTCAACGGTCTAAGAATGATTATACTCTTGTGTAAGAACGCCATAAACCTATCTTTCTGAAATAGGAGGGCAACAGGGAAAGAGTGGGTGATGAAAAAAGCTGTTTGTGCCTTTCTGGCTAGGTGCACTTTGGGGGCCAGCAAATAGCCCTTGCAGGACCCCATCAGTCAGTAGCTACCCAGGGTGTGGGAGGATACATAGAATTCTATGTGATTATAGTTTCTAGTGCATATGTCAACAACTATGTACAGGGATCTATAAATTAAATGCATGTCTGGCCACTGCAACTAGGTTGACGTACCTGAGCTCCACTACTTTTGGTGCCCTCTTCCCTTTTGAGAGCTTCGGCTTATCAAAAAAGAGCCCCTACAGCTCCCTCCTTCTAGGGGTGTGGGGAAGCCCGAGTAACCCTGCATGTAGGATACACCAGAGCAGAAGGGTTCAGTACTAGGATCTCCCCCCCCTCCCCCCCATCCCCCTTATGGCTCAGGGCCCTGGCGCAGCACGGGGTCCTGGGAAGATCAAACCCCGAGTCCCGGCGAATCGGCGAATCGTGGTCCATTGGCTGCGGGCCACCCATTCCCGAGGCGAGCAGGAGATCATCTGGATGAAGGGGGGCGTTCGCTCCCGTAGGGGTCACTCCCGAGGGCTCCCCGCCCTGACCTGCTGCAAAGTCCAGCCTCTGGGCTTGGGGAGGATGGTTCCCCACCGTCCCCGGCGCTGAGGGGTTCAACGACTCCCGGCCGCTGCTGCAGATTCCTCCTCATCCTCGTCAGGCCCCAGCGGCCGCTCGAGCGGCCGGGCCAGGGGGCTGTCAGCAGTGGGGTCCGGGGGTGCAAGCCGCGCCGCGCCTCGCGGCGGGACGACCTGGTATTGTTGGGCCCTGCGGCCGCCGCCCCCGAAGTCCCGGACTGGCCGGTGGCGTTGGAGCCTCCCGGAGGCTGGCCGGCTGCTCCCCCCGAGGTCCCGGCGCCCACCGGCTGCCAGATGAGGCTGTAGTAGACGGCGAGCACGATGGCGGCCAGCGACACGGAGAGCACGTAGGCGAACACGGTGGCGAGCCGGACCCACTTCTTGTTGGTCTTGGCCGCCATCTTCGCCTTCTTGTCCCCGGTGTAGGTGGCCGGCTTGCCCCGCTCGGCCGGGGCCGCGTCGCGCTCCTTCATGGGGGGGCCCCGGCCTTTGCCCCGGTGCTCCACGGC